TAGACGTAATCTTGAGGAAAGTTTGCTCCTTGAAACTACATTTGTTAAAATGTTTGCAGGAGAAAACTGTGTTCGTTAAAATTATAACTTAACATCTTAAAGTCATGAGAAGCTGATTTTATCCACCAATTCCAGTGATAATTACTCACTATGACATTACTCACCTAACTCTATTTCACTTAATCTCTATAAAAGGACTTTACAAATTTTCTTAAAATTAGAAAATTAGCCAGAAGAACATTTCTTATTGTACAAACGGATTACAAGTAAAATAAAGCAGCTCAATAAGAGATTAACTTTTAAAATGGCTAGAATCTCAAGTGGTGATGACACAGGTCTCAGCTCTTAAATTTTGCACAAATGAGGAAGTTGCTCACCTTAAAGAGAGCATTGGGCTTCTCAAGCCTGGTGCAGATGATGCTTGGGGCCTGGAGAAAAGGGACAACCAGGCACTTGATGGCATCACACCAGTCTCCAGGCCCATCGCCCTTTAGGAACGTGCCAGAATCCTCAAGAAGCAGCAGCTGCAATAAGGAGAGAGCTGAATCCAAGCTATATCCTGGGGTTTCTGTTGGAACGTGGGGTGACCAAGCAGAGCCACTTTGCAACTTTAGTTTTGGAGGTGCCATGAAAAGAGGAAACAAGCCTGCCACTTCAGGGCCAAGGAGAGGAGCATTTTGTGACAGTGAAGTGTGGGTTCTTCAGGCTGCTTGTAGGCACAAATTCTCCCCACATCCCCAATCAGGGATGGCCATCAGGAAACCCAGAGGTAATGTGGGATGGGGAGAGAAATGGACACTGGGAGACACCCCAGGGATTATCACCATCTGAACAGAGAGAGGAACTGGCGGGACCACGGTTCCAGATATCCAACTCACAAGGCAAACACAGAATTACTTCTCTGTATTACTTCCCAGAATTACTTGGGGTTTTATGACCCCTTGTTCTCCAAGGTCATTGACTAGTTAATGCCTGTCATATTTGCTGTTGTTTACAAGGTAACTTTAACTTACAGTAGAGCTCCAACATTCCCAAATATCAGAGAGAGAGGGACCAGTGACTAATTAACTGGGTTACTGAGGGAACAGGTTCCTGACTGGACTAAAGACAGTCACCAAGATGACCTACACATGACCTTCCAGTGAAGGCTGGAAGCAGACGGTGACCAGAGAAGCAGAATTCCATGTCAAGCTTCAGACAAGTAATGGGCAAGTAACGGATAGGTGGTTTCAGGGTCAAGGAAGCACATCAACACCTTCCTTGTCATAAGTAACAGGCTGCCCTGCAGATCAGAGCAGCTGGAGGAAGCTTAGAACCTCTGGGGAAATGAGGGAGCCCAAGGTGCTTTCTGCCATCCTAACTATGAGTGTGAGAGAATTACACATTTCCCTTAAAGAGTAAGGAATACCACGTTAGATTAAGCAGCTATTGCTGATAGCTGCAGGTTAGCAGGAAGAGATATCAATGCATATTAGATCAGTATTTTTTGTTTGAGATTGTTTTAAATCTTTTTATTTTGAAACAATTTCAGACTTCCAGAAAAGTTGCAAACATAGTACAGAGAATTCTTGTATACCCTTTACCCTTCATCCAGAGTCACTTCACCACATTTGTTTTATCATTTCCTGCTCCACCCACCTCTCTGCTCCATCTGTCTATCTCTGTCTGTCTGTCTGTCCATCTGTCCATCCTTCCATCCACTGCTCTGTCTGTCCATCTGGCTATCTATCTATCTATCTAGCTAGCTAGCTAGCTAATCTCAGAGATAATGTCCCATCCCCCAACCCACGCAGCGTATATTTTGTAAAATTAAGGACATTCTCTAATATTCTTATATTGCCAGAGTACAATAATCAAAATCAGAAACATAACATTGATACAGTCCTATTATTTAATCAACAAACCTTATTCAAATTCCTCCAGTTGTCCCCTGCTGTCTTTTAAAACCAAAGGAGAAAAATTTCCCCTCAGGCCTAGATTCCAAGCCGGATCACACACTGCATTTAGTTGTCGTGTCTCTTTGGTCTCCTTCAGTCTGGGGCAGTTCCTCAGTCTTTTTTATTGTCTTTTATGACTTTGACATTTTTGAAGCGTACAGACCATTTTATTTTGAAGAATGTCCCTCAGTTTGGGTTTAATTGATGTTTCCTCAAGATTATAGACTCAGATTCTGTATTTGGGGCAGGAATGCCATAGAAATGATGTATTCTTCTCAGTGCATCGTATCAGGAGGCACACGACGTCCATTTGTCCAGAAACTGGTGACGTTAACATTGATCACTGGTTGAGATGTTATCTGACAGGTTTTTCCACCATGAAATTACAATTTTCCCTTTGTAGTTAATAAATATCTTCTGGGAGCTACTTTGATATTATGAATATAGCCTGTTCCTCATCAACCATTAGTTTCAGCACCCATTGATGATCCTTGCCTGAAACAATTTTAACTATGTGGGTTGCTGAATAATTTTCTAATTCCATAATTCTTCCTACATTTTTTCACTTGGCATTCTACTATAAAAAAGAGCTTTCACTTCTCCCTATCTGTTCATTCATTCATTCATCCATGCGTCCATCCATTCGTTTATTGGTGTGGACTCATGGATTCTTATTTTATTTTATGGCTTATAATCTATATAATGAAATCATTACTTATTTTAATGCTCAAATTGGCCCAGATTTGGCCAGATGGAGCCCCTTAAACCTGGCAAATGTAGTTTGTGACACATCCCCATGGTTCTTTGAGCAGTTCCTTATTTTCTAGCATAAGAAAATGTCCCAGTTCTCCAGCCTTAGAATCAGCTCTTTCTCCAAGGAGCCCTAATTTCTTTTACTGGAAAATATTTAGAAACCAAGATCTGAATGCTGGATGCTAAGTGTGCTCAGAGTGAGTGTGTACTCATTTAAAATAGAGAAATAGGGCCGGCCCCATGGCTTAGCAGTTAAGTGCGTGCGCTCTGCTACTGGTGGCTCAGGGTTCGGATCCCTGGCGCGCACTGACGCACCGCTTCTCCGGCCATGCTGAGGCCGCGTCCCACATACAGCAACTAGAAGGATGTGCAACTATGACATACAACTATCGACTGGGGCTTTGGGGATAAAAAAAAAAAAAAAAGAGGAGGCTTGGCAATAGATGTTAGCTCAGAGCCGGTCTTCCTCAGCAAAAAGAGGAGGATTAGCATGGATGTTAGCTCAGTGCTGATCTTCCTCACAAAAAAAAATAAAAAAATAAAATAAAATAAAATAGAGAAATATAGTTAGGTTCACTTATCTTTGTATTCCATTTTGAGTTTCCCTCTATCCTTGTGGGTTTTATGTTTTTATGTTTTGAGCATATGAAATATAACATGTTTCCAAAAGTCTAAATTATAGAAAAAATGTATATTTTCAGAAACGTCCCCCTGTATCACTTCTATCCTCTTCCTATACCCAATTCTTTTCACCCTGTTCCTCACCACCGCTACCTGTTGGTAACCAATCTATTAGTTTCTGGTTTATCCTTATGTTTCATTTTGCAGAAATGAACAAATACATATATATCTTCCCCTTATTTCTTACCTAAAAGTTGCATAGCATAGATGTTATTTTCCTTTTTTCACACTGGAAATCACTCCATATCAGTTCAAAGAAATGGTCCTCATTCTTTTTTATAGCTGCATAGTACTCCATTGTGTGGATGTATTCAGGCGCTCCCTGATGTCTAAGCATATAGTTTGTTTCCAACATTTTACTATTACAACAAATACTGCAAGTAATTACTTTGTATATACTATTTTCTTATTTTTCGAGGTGTAAATTCCTAGAGGTGAAATTACTGGCACAAATAGAAAATGCACATACAGTATTTTTAGAGGGATATTTGCCAAATATCTCTCCAAAAGGACTACACCAGTTTACATCCCTACCATCAAAGTATGAGATTGCCTGTTTCCCACAACCTTGCCAACAGATTGTGCTGTCGTACTTTTTAATTTTCAACAGTTTAAGTGAAAAATGATTTCAGTACAGTTTTAATTTGTACTTCTCTAACTATGAATGAGGTTAAACATCTTTTCATATGTTTAAGAATATTGTGTCTTTTGCCCAATTTTCCACTGGGTACATGCTTTTTTAAAAACTTTGCTATGAATTGCTTTTTCCCTTTAATTTGCTAGGCAGAAGCTAGAAGTCATACATTTGCTTAACATTTATCCTGTTCCTTAATTTTTTCATCATAAAATCTTATCTGTGGTAATGTTTTAGTTCTTGATTGGGAGGATTCACTGTGAAAATTTTATCAAGCTGTATACTTATAACTTGTACACTTCTAAATGCTTATTTTAAAAATTCTTAGCCAATTTAATTCTGTGCTAAATTATTAGTGTCTTGCCTGCCTAATGCCTAAAGGATGCCTGATGATTCCCAGAATTATACCCAAGTAGCCCTGATGTGAGATTAAGAGGAAGAAGTGGCCCTCTGGAGAAGGAGCCCTGTGAGCACATATTTGAAAGGTGAGCCCACAACACACACACACACAACACACAGGGTCATCCTGCCTCTGCTCCCACCATAGTGCCCACTCCCACCAACCTCCAAGGCCTTGTCAAATCTGGCAGCCCCAGACATCTCTTCCCAACTCACCAAGTAGGGGAAAGGATTTGTCCAGAGGACAGCAGTAAAGACCTCTTTTAAGTTTTTGCCTAGAATCCCTTTTTGTGTCCCAATAAATGATGCCCTTCTGTTTCAAGCCTCATTTTCTCCATAATTTTCAGGGATAGTAGAAGGAAATATGTAATCAAGTCTATTAAATGTTATAAGCTACTTAGAGAAAGATTCAGCTGGACCTGGACTTTTCTACCATTCTCTGTTCGGTGTGAGGAGCTCTGATTAGTTGACGTGTGTTCTCTCTTACCCTCAGCCTCTGCAGTCTCTTTGGTATGGGATACATTGGGTAATCCAAATAAAACTACTGTGGGGGGATGAATGGAGGAATTTTTTTTAAATGACTTACCTGTTTGCTGCATCTTTCAGGATAGTCCAGAAAGGAGAAGTAGGAGCAGCGACACGCCTACAGAGAATTGGTGCCTCCTAATGGTTGTCATACTGCCAGCCTGATGATGACCCAGCCTCTCCCGTGGAGCAGCCCCAAAGCAATCTGGAGAGTCTCAGAGCAGATGAGCTGGGGGAGGAGGTGTGGGGCAGATGGCAATGGTAGTTGTCAGGAATGAGACTAAACAGCATTGGCAGAAGTTAAACTTCCATCCTCCTGGTTCTCTCCCCACATAACAGCCAGATGATGGTGGTTATTTCAAGGAGTTTCCAAGAATGGCATTTGATATATATCATGACCTTCCAAGGGAAGCTGGGACGAAGCATCGTAGTCTCCTCACCTCTCCCCAGCGGGGACACCCCGACACAGGCACAGACCTCACCTCCCCACATCCTGTGTGTTGCAGGCTGAAGTCACAGTAAACACATGCACGCATCCTTTCTTTCTCTCACCCTCTCCCACTTTGAGCAGCATTGAGAATAGAAGCCATTCCTGTGGCAAGAACTGGTGTCCCAAAGCCAGGCTCTCTGGGGATCACTGGATGTTAGTTTGACCCCCAGTTTCGGACGGTATACTGTATTGTCCACACTTGTGAGGTGCAGGTCTGCAGTACAAGCCTATAGACACCTGAAGTGTCCTTCTTCATCTCCAGACATCGTTTAGTGGCTCTGTTTATGACAGCTCTTCCCTGGATGGGAGGAGAGACAGAGTCAAGGTACTGAAATGCCCTTGTAGTGCATCACCTCCCCTGCTCCTACTCGCCCTGCTGTGCTCAGAGACATGCTTGACGGGTCTCTCATTCCTCTGCATCCAGAGGAGAAAATGAAGCAAAGTGTAAAATTAGATCACCAGTGCTTTCTCTACGCAGCCCCCTGGCAAACTAACCACAGGTCTGGGACTAAGTGATGCTGTGCTGAGTTCCTATGATATCATCTGCCTCTCCTGAGACTGAAGCAACAGGTCAGCATTGACTGGCAAGACATAATGCATCTTGAAAGAGCCGTGGCCCTTCTCTACTTGGCCTTCCTTTCCACGTCTTCACCCCTGAGCCCATGAGACCCATGAGGATTCTCCCTCCCTCCTCAGTGAGGTGCTGTGGTGGGACTGAGCAGAAGCTACATTCAGGAATCTCAGCCTACTTTCTCCACCACTCTGGGGCGCAGTTCCTACCTCTCCTGTTGTGGGGGCTTCACCAAGGTTTACTGCTGGGAATAGAGCTTAGAGCTAGAGTCTGGGTTGTATCCCTGTTCCACTACACACAAACAGAGAGGCCTTGGGCAAATTATCTAACGTCTCAATCTTCTCATCCATAAAATGGGTTTAGAGTTAATATTAGAGTTAAAAGTAATGTTAATATTTATTGAGGATCTTGTGCTGACATGAAAGATGTGCAGAAAATGTGAGTTCATCTCTGCCTCTCCCCATTCTAATGGGGGAAGAGGGAGGAAGGGTCATCCTTCTCTTTGTTCTCATGTGTCATCTCCAACCCTCCTGAGCTCTTCCTCCTTATCGCCTCAGATCAACATCAGAGGCTCATGCCATCTGTCCTGGGTCTGTCCTCCTCTCCGAGCCCTCCCACTCCCCACATCCCTCTCCATTCTTTGCAGATCACTTGCCTAATGGAGTTTAGTGCCTGGATGAAGTTGTTTTCCCTTTACAGCCCGCCCTCCATTATCATCCTAAGTTCACAGCCTCCACTTGGACGTCTAGAGAGAAACCCTGATCTCACTGTTCCACTTCAGAAAACCTGCCACCAAGTGTTTTCACACCAAGCAGGGCTGCAGGTCCATGTCCAAATCCCCGCTCCCCCTCTAATCATCGCCCCCTCACCTCTCATCTCTTCCAATCACAAACTGCCCCCACAACCCTGCTCCCCAAAATTCGCCTGCCCCTGGCCACACTGCACTCCCTCTGCCCCCACCTCCCCAGGTGCGCCCATCCAGCGTTTTTAGTCATTCAAGGCGCCCTCCCACTCCTTGAACTCCTCCTGTCACCCCCACTGCTCCTCTCTTGGCCCCACTTCCAGACCACAGAGCGCTCCTGGAAAGGGTCCACCCACCGAGCAGGCCTGGCCCACAAACGTGCCTGCAGCAGCCTGGCTGCAGAATTGGCCCACTCCTCAGGGTTCCTCGTCCAGGTCTCCTCAGCACGCTTTATCCCTCGGTCCCCACCCTTGACGCTCACTTTCACTAAATGCCTTTAGTTTTCACTTTGTCAAGAAGACCACGCTTCCAGTCAATCTAGCCCCTCACCTGAATGCCACGAGCAATGCTCGGGACACTGTTCATGGATGGGCTCAACAGAGCTGCCCTGGTTTTGCCTCTACTGCCAGCAGCCCCCTGGGCTCTGGGCCCAGCCATCCTTGATGCTGAGAAACACTCTTCCTGTCTAATATCCTTCTTTTATTTCTCCCTCTTGGCAGATTCCTTTTCTATTGGCTTTAAACATATCCAAATGTCCCAATATTAGAGCGGGAAAAATCCCTTAACTCTACCATTCTCTTCAACCAACATTCAGTGTTTTTCTCCCTTTCAGAATCAAACTTCTCAAGCAGAGAGGCAATAACAAATAGTGGATAAGATTCTGTGTTTGAATTCTGGACATTTTCTATGCTGTGTGACCTTGAGAATACTATTTGACTTCTCTATGCTTTAATTACTTCATAGGTGAAGTAGAGCTAATGATAATACCTCTCTTATGAGATTTATGTAAGAACTAGATTAGATAATGTTTAACCCAGTGCCTGGTACATAATATGTACTCAATAAATCTTGACTATTATAATTTGTTGTGACCTTCTGGACAAAGTCGATTTTCTCTCCACTTCCATGTGACACGTGTGCTAGCAGTATTCCTCTTCAGACTCCTCTCCTCTGGTGTCTTTTACATTGTGTTCATCTGGATCTTATATATTTTTGGCTTGGTCTTTATTTGAGGGGTGTTGTCTGCCAGTTTTTAAAGGATTTTTGTTTTTGTTTCTTTTTCCCTTTTATAAAAGGAATATGTGCTCATTTTATTAACTTGGAAAACATATTTTAAAAGTCAGAAGCACTCATAATGAGATAACATTGTATATACAGTTTTTGTATCCTGCTTTTTAAATTTAACATTATATCATGTGCATTTTCCAATTTCATTAATTTTTTGAAAATACATTTTTGATAATATAATTTGAATGGCTATATAATATTCAGTTCAAAGGATGAATAAAAATCGCCCCTCCTGTTGGACATTTAAAATTTCCTAATATTTTGTTATGATAAAAATTAAGATATTTTCTATATTATCTTGACCTACATTCTATACTATTTCTTAAATTAAGATATTATCTTAAAAGAGAATTAGTACCTTAAAAACAGGTATAATCAGTTGTGGGGTTTTGATTAGTGTCAGGGTTTTTCCTATAGAGAGCTAAATTGCTTTCTGGAACTATGCCCACCAGCAACGTATTTGGTCATATTTGGTCTCATCCACAATGTCCATGGAGACATTGGGTCCATGCCAAAAGGTCCTTGATATTTGGTCCTGTTCCAAACCATTTGGTATGGACCAAATATGCTCATGGATGTTTTTGACAGGACCAAATGTCAAGGACATTTAGAGATGGACCAAATGTCTTATGGACATTTTGGACAATACCAAATGTCCTGCAAGGCTGCAATTGCTACTCTCAATTCTATGCTCCTCATCTCAAAATCTAGATGTTGCCAATAGGCCTTCTCTCTTCAAATTGGGTCCCTTCTCAGTCACTGGTACTATCTCTCTTGTGGTCTTCAGAGGTCATAACCTCTTCTGGTTGACTCAAAATATTAATCATGAAATTGAAAGAAAACAAAGGGATTATCTAGTCTTACTTCTTTATCAATTCTGGAGAATATCTTTGGTAATTTTTTAGTATAGTGAATGTTAAGTTGTGTCTACAAAGTAAATAGAGCACCAAAGGGACCCAACATTCAACTGAATATTATTTTCATATCTGAAAGAATTGTGGTCCTAAGAGAAAAGATGAATATGAAAGGCTTAGATAGAATGAATTGACTTAAAACTGACTTAAAATCAGGTAATACACCATGAGCTACATGATCACCTCCCTCTTTAACTTTTGGAATTCTTGACATAGTGACCACAAAAAGAGACCCAGCCTGGACATCAGAGTGGTGGGTACAATTCCCCTGGTGTTCTGCAGCTCCAGATCTCATGTCCAGCCAAAATCCATATTCTATCAGCAACTTCACCCAGTTGAGAAAACAATCTTCCCAAATTCTCTTGGAAAGGCAACCTTCAAAATGTTTGGGATGTCATAATTGTTTCTTTAGCATAAGTAGTATCTTTCATTCCCTGGAGATTTAGGACAAAGTATAGATTTTAAGGAAATCAAACACATGTATTTGTTAAAGATTCTGCATATATTTACTATTTTTAAGTACTTGCTATGTTTAAGAAAAATTTTCTTACAGATTAACCTTGTGATACCAATTTAAAAATGTGTAATTGAATAATTAAATTTGTGATTTTATGTCAAAAGTTTACTAGATTGCAAACACTTTTGAGACATTTAAGAGAACTTAAGAATCATTCAATTTAAAGTGAGATAATTGAGTTCTTAAGAAACAAAATTTAATGTATTGAATTTATAAATACAGTATGTAATGTTTAAGAAAATTTGTTAAATTGTAAAATCCCCTTTAAAATTGCTAAGAGAGTAGATCTTCAAAGTTCTCACCACAAGAAACAAAAATTCTATAACTATGTGTGGTGATGGATGCTAGCTAGACTTATTGTGGTGATCATTTTCAATATATACATAAATTATGTATATTAAATTCTGTATCTGAAAGTCAGATAACGTTATATGTCAATTATATCTCAATATAAATAAATGCAGACATAAGTAAATAATAAATAAATAAATAAATAAAATACTACAAATAACTTTATACTCATAAATTTGAAGAAATGGACCAATTCCTCAAAACCATAAACCACTAAAATGCAATCAACATGACATAAATAATCTGAATAGCCCTGGACCATTAAAAACATGTTTCAATTCATGATTTAAAAGCTCCTGAAAAGGAAATCTCCAGGCCCATATGGTTTCACTAGAGAATTATACCAATCATTTAAAGAAGGATGAACATTAATTTAAGACAATCTCTTCTGAAAATCTCTTCCAGAAAATGCCTCTTCCAGAAATTGGTCTATTCTGTAATTTTTGTCAACCAGACAAATTTTATCAACAGGAAGAAAGAACACTTCCTAACTCACTTTATGGGCCAATGTTACCCTGATACTAAAACCAAAGATAGCATCGAAAAAAAAAAAAAAGCTGCAGACCATTATCTCTAATGAACTTAGACAGAAAAATCCTCAACAAAGAACTAGGAAATCAAATCCAAAAAAATATGAAAAGAAGTACACACCATGACTAAGTGTGATTTCTTTCTAGTATGCAAGGCTGGTTCAACATTTGAAAATTAATCAATGTAATCCATCATATCAACAAGCTAAAGAAGAAAAAATATAATCATATCAATTGACAGAGAAAAATGATTTGACAAAAATCCAACTCACATTCATGATAAAAAAAATTCTTAGCGAGTGAGAAATATAGGGAAAATACTTCAGTTTGATAAGAAGCATCTACAAAAAATCTACAACTAATATTATACTTAATAGTGAAAGATTCAATGCTTTCCTCCTACATTTGGGAGCCAGGCAAGGACATCCACTCTCACCACTCTTATTCAATGTAGTACTGAAATTCTAGCCAATGTAATAAAGCAAGAAAAATAAATAAAAGTCATACAGATTAGAAACAAAAAAAAGACTGTTAAAACTTGCTATGTTTATAGATAAAATAAGATTTGTAAGCTGAACATAAAAGCTTAAAGAAAAACTAGAGTTCTTTACTTATAACTTTAATAAATTGAATATTAAATTTTTAAACCAAAGTAAAGCTGTAATCATATTTTCTGCACACAAAAGATACCATTAAGGACACCAAAAACTCACATTTAGCACACTAGGCCTGCCAGATGCTCAAACACACTGTGCTTGGTGACTACCATTGACAGAGAGCTCACCGCCTGCTAGGTAGCCCATTCCTTTGTAGGACAGCTTAAGCTGTTAGATTATTAGAAATTCCTCCCCCTGCCCCTTGCGTTAAGTCAGTCTGCCTCCTTGATCTCCAACCACAGTCTCAGTTCTGCCCTCCAGTAGACACTGAACAAGTCTACCCCCTCTTCCTTATGAAGGCAACATCGTCTTTTCTCTAGGTCTACCTCTCCAAGCTAGGCCTCCAGGTAGACCTCCAGGTCTACCAATCTTTCATTTGCTCTGCAACCATTTACTGCATGCCTGCAATATTCCAGGCACTGTGCTAGATACTAGAGAGAAAACAACAAACAAAACCCAGGCCCTGCCCTTCAGCACACAGTCTAGGGATGAAAAGAAGCAAGTGAGGAGGCAATTAGAAGAGAGTGAGACAAGGCCTTTAGGAGGGACCCTGAGAACGCACAGAAGAATCACCCATCCTAGTCCTGTAGAGTCACAGATGGCTTCTCGAAGAAGACAATATCTAAGGCCAGAGGAATACTTTATAGTTGGCCTGGTGAAGAGGTGGGAAGAGAGGGAACAACATGTACAAAAGGGCCTAAGATAAGAGGGAGCATGACTTTTCATAGAATTACATGTAGTTCCCTATACCTGGAGCTTAGAGCAGGGAGACAGGACTTACCCTCCTCCTTCTTCTCACTGACATTGTCTAGTTCAAAAAGGCTTAATCTATGATCCAAAAACCCTCTGAAATTGTAAGCAAAATAGTGTACATAGGTGTATATACATGTTTTCCTGGAGAGGGTCCATAGCTAGCAGCAGACTCTCAAAGGGGTTATTAGCTTTAAGTTAGGAATTACTGAGCTATATTGCCCACATCTCTAAAAATGTGGCTTCTGAACCTGACACACAACAACATGCTCAGAGATATGTTCACAGACAAAGCATCACTTCCCTCCATTAAGACACAACATTCCTGTCAATGTGGCTTAAGAATGCAGCCCCATCACAGGGCAAAATCACGTAGACTGTGGTCAGAAAAAACCCTCACATCATTGTCACGTGAATTCTGCAATATTCCTTCCACCCTGTTCCTAGTCAATTGATGTTGAAGTTAAAGTCAGGGCTTTTATACTAGTCCCTGCCAAATTTTAGCCCAATGCTCCAGACTCTCTGATTATCATTAATAATAAAGCTAATTGCAATGGCTAATATTTATTGAACATTTTCCATGTGCCAGGCACTGTGCTAAATACTTTACATGCATTATCTCATTTAATCCTCTCAACAGAGTCCTAAAGTAGATAATATCATCTCCATTTTACAGATGAGGAAACTGAGTCTCAGAGAGGGGAAGAAAATCGCTGAAGGTAACTTGAGCTAGGATTTGAACTCAAATCCTTAACTGTTAAGCAATAACAGATTCCAATATTTCTTTCTCTTAACCACCTCACCTTAGTCAACAGACTCAGTGTTTCCTGCCCAGTTCCCTGTTTCCAGTCTTTTCCCTACATGCTGCCACAAAATTAATCTTTCTAAAACACTATCAAATCAAATCTGAACCTCTCAGACTACATTTGAATATACCTATCCTTTAAAATCACATCACTTACTGGCTTAAAATCCCAATATATGTGCAGGTTATTTTTGGCTGCCTTGGAACATGGCTTTAACATGGCCTTCTCCCCATAACCAGGGTCTGTGAGGCAGCGATCATCAGTATATGCTTCTGCAATCAGTGGTCCCACATAGAATTCCCCTGTTAGGTGGTAGTAGACATTCTGAAAGAGAGCAAAGGGACCTTCCATAGACACAGTCAGTGAGGAGGCCCTTGACCTTATAGAGGGCATGGAGACTGCTCTTGGGTCCCCTAGACACTCAATTGCCCAGAGGAGCATGGAACTTTCCTGGGTAACGAGGAGGTGCCTCTTCTTCTTTCTCCCCAACCCCCACTTGATTCTAGGAAGAAGACCAGACACGAGGAGGGGGCACTATCCTGCTTCCTTCTGTGCAAGGGCTCCACCAGAACCATGACTTGCGTGGATGATGGAGCTTATCTTTGAAAAAAAAGAAAAAACCACAGCTGAACTTCAGAAGCTGTCACTATAGACCCTAGCTATGGGTCTATTGTCAGGAAACATTTCAAATCTGACACTGCCTTGCTCAGCGAGCTTGGGCAACTAGGTTGTTTTTGTATCTCAGTTTTTCATCTGTCAAGTGGAAATGCTATCTACCCTGCACACCTCAAAAGGTTCCTGTGAGGGCAACATGCAAAGTAACATGATAGATGTGAATAGTCTCAGGGAAAAAAAGTCCCCTGGCTGCATCCTCCAGTGGTGCTGGGTCTCTTCTATCTCACAGAAGGACTTCCATTCAGCCTCTCTCTTCTCTAGCCCTGTTTCCTTCTCTACAGAAGAAGCCACAGGTAACGTCACCCGTCCACATTCCAGGGCATACAAGGGGCAGTGGGAGGAGGAGAAGAGGAAGGGATTGGAGGTTATTGCATGGAAGTGCTTGGTTACAAGTAGAGGTTTGGGTTTCATCCTTACCCATTACCCAGGATGCTCAGCTCCTGCCCCCATATCATCTAACACTGAGTCCCAATCTGGCAAAGGTTGCCCAGGGCTGAGTCACAATAGACTCTCTCTGTCCGGGCAGGGAAGATTGTGGAAGATACCTGTGTATTGTATTCATGACAGTGATACATGATGGGGGTGTTGTCTGAAATAGGTCCCTGATCCAGGCAGACATTTTCATCCAATGAGTTTTTCAGCTGAAGGGGAAAAACAGATGACAACGCTATTAGAAAGAGGCAGAGAAAGAGGGCCTTCAAGCCTCCCCAGGCCTTGTATCTTCCCAGTACTACAAGGGTGCCAGAAATTACCAGCCAAAAGGGAGCAGGGGGTTGGGATCCTGCCAGCCATTTTCCAAGCACTAGACAAATGCTGAAGTGACGTGCTACTACGATATCCACTTCCTGGGAACACCCACCTCCTCAGACCACCACAGCACACACAGAGAAGGGGCACCTATGCCCCCATTCAGGTGAGAAAGGCCAAACACCCTGGTTGGCTGAGAAACGAGAGGGTGAGAGCAAGGGCTGCCGTTTGCAATAAGGAACCAGAGGCAGAGAGAAGAAAAAGAGATGGGGACTGGGGAGCAGGAGATGAGAGGAAACCGAGGGGGTCCAAGGGCAAAAAGTCGAGGAAGGAGGGTAGGAAGGGCATCTTGGGCAGGATGGGTTTTGGGAACCCTTGTTTGGGCAGTCACATGATTCAGGTCTCATTTGTCTTTTATAGTCAAACATTTAAAATTGCAATTTCATAATACATACTCTTCCGTAGCCCACAATGTTGTGGATTGGCTTCAGGATTGGATAAACATTTTTCAGATACCAGTCAAAACTTTGACATTTCAGTTTCCCCCGGAGCGCCATTCTGGAAGAAATGTCTCCATAATCAATTCCAGAGTTCTGTGAATAAAACATGGAGAGTTTCTGTGTCTTGAAATGTCCTTGACTCCACCAAAGGGTATGGACGACGCAAGAGGGAACTGAGTGTTCTCCTGACAGCTTGTAAGGTAACCTTGATAATTTACAGTTTTCCAGGGAAAGTGGAAAAAGCTTGACCTTAGAAATCTCTGCTTGTTTCAAAGGTACTTGCAAGGCCTGTGTAGTGGGGTCACTCAGGTTTATTTCTTGTCATTAGCAAGCTGATGCAGACTGCTCCTGTTTGAGATAGTATTTCCATCAATAAGGCACAAAATACTCCTCATGCTGGCCAGAAAAGGCTTTAAAAAGGACTATTCTCGCAGCAAGATTTGGAGGTTAAAGGAGATTTTCTAGAAGTGATATCCGTGTGGAATCAAAGTAAAAGAATGCTTGAACCCAGAGCCACAGTTCAGAAACAGAAGACAGCATATCAGCCACCTCGGGCAGCTGGGGCAAAAGATGTGGCCTTAACCAAGAAGGCCATCCTCATTCATGTGTGTCCAACAGGATTACAGTCACTACTCCTACATCCCACATCCCACTTGCCATGTTTACATTCTCTTAAGAGAGTGAATTCCTGATGTCCAACCCTCCCCTGCAAGGAATCTCCCAGTATAGATGATGAATGAAGAACGTAGAACCTAGAAGATTCCTTGGTTTGAATCTTATCTCTGATGCTTACTACCTTGTTACCTTAAACGAGTTCCTTTCAACTCTGTGCTTCTGTCTCTTCTTCTGTAAACTTAGAATAGTAAAAATAAAACCCACCCCATAGTTACGTTGTAATGATTAATGAGTGCCTGGAACACAGTATTGCTACCTAAATGCTAAGCGTCCTTATCATTACACCATCAAGACTTTACTCTAATTCTTTAGGGCTGGGATGGCACTTTTGCTCTATCCTTCTCATTTCCCACCATTACCACCACCTCCCCCACCTTTGTTCTTCTCTGCTTCTGTTCATTTCCATGACGGACCTGGAGAGGTATGTTCCAGGCGAAGTAGACCATATCTTTGTACTCATCCATCCAGATTTCAGCCACTCGCAGAGCATTGCGCTTCAAGACAAGACTCAGATCCAAGGCATAGGGCTTGTGGTGTCTTTCTAGGTGAGCAACCCGGCAGCAAGGCAAGACCTCGATTCTCCCTCCACACTGCCACACCTGCAAGAGAAGAAAAAAAAATCACCTGGGCAGCTGGGCCCCATGGCCAATAAGTGGCATAGCTTCTTGACTCACAGAGGGCACATTTTGGAACCATTTTTTAAAGAAAGTAAATTCAGTCCTCCCACTCCCATCTCTATGTTGCCTCCCAATCTACTTATCTAAAACAATTTTCCATAGAAGTCTACCAAACTGCTTCTTTCCTGTCATTCAGACAGTTCCAGAAATCCTACCTCCTTCAAGAAGTCCTCCTAAATGGACCAAAGGAGGGGCTCCCCTGTTCCTTTATCCCCAAGGAAAGTGCCAAAATCCTGAGGCACCATGTCCTGAGCCAATCTCACTGGACTTAGCTTCCCATCACTCCTCTCTGTCCTGCATGCTAGATGTAAAGCAATGTGGTAGACAGATTCTTAGGTGGCCCCCTGCCTCCTGATGTTCACGCCCTTCCCTGATCCCATCCCCTTGAGTGTGGGCTTGTGATCTCCATCTAACCAATAGACTATGACAGAGGTAGCAGTATATACACGATTACGTGAGTGTGATTACATTACATAAGATTGCAGTGTCCATCTTTCTAGGAGACAGGCTGTCTTGCTGGCTTTGAAGAAGCAAGCCACCATGATGTGAGCCACCACATGGAGAGGGCAAGAAACTAAGGGCAGCTTCCAACTGATAGCCAGCAAAAACCTGAATGCTTCTTCAGTCTGGAAGACTTCAAAGGACTGAATGCTGTCAACAAACACATGATCTTGGAAGCAGATCCTTCCCCAGTCAATCCTAGACAGAACCCAGCCCTGGCCAACACTTTGACTACAGAGACCCAACTAAGAGAGGCATGGACTCCCGACCCACAGAAACTGTGAGATAATAAATGTGTCTTGCTTTAAGCCACTAAGTGATAATATTGTTACACAGCAATAGATAACTAATATAGGTAATGTTTTGTTTTTTTGTGTGTGTGAGGAAGACTGGCTCTGAGCTAACATCTATTGCCAATCCTCCTCTTTTTGCTGAGGAAGATTAACCCTGAGCTAACATCTGTGCCCATCTTCCCCTATTTTGTATGTGGGATGTTGCCACAGCATGGCTTGATGAGCGGTGCATAGGTCCACGCCCGGGATCCAAACCTGTGAGCCCCGGGCTGGGCTGGCCCCAAACACAGGTAATTTTTGACCAAGAGATACCATGACTTATGATTTAATTATAAATATTCTCCCTTGTCATCCTAATGAGTACAAACATACTTATCAGACCATACATTCTAATATTTGGCTTAAAAATATGGTCTTTATCCCAATAGATGATAGAACTATCTAACGACATTATTGTAAAATATAATGGCTCCAGTGTCTTCTCTTCATAGTTGCCCAAGTGAGTTGCAGTTCCTGGGAGATAATTAGTTCATCTGGTGGTGATTAGCAACCTATTGCACTCATGCCCAGGTGAGCCCATGAGATGAGGGTGAGCAACTTATGTCCTGCTGGTTCAGTTAATCACCTGAGCGGTCAGTCCCCTTATCTGACTTTCAAAATTTTTTCATTTCTTCCTCCACTTCTGAATGCACAGATTCCCCTCCCTCACCACCTCCACAAAATCCAAAATAGCAGAGTGACAAAAAGCCAACCTCTGAAGTCGAACACAGGAGTAACCTGTGTTCGAATGTTGACTCTATCACTGCACACCTGGCAACTAGGGCAAAACCCTCCCCGTCGCTGAACCTCAACTGGCTCATCCACAAAAGGGCACACCTGTCATTCGGGCTGTCAGGAGGACTAAATGGCATAACAAGTATCATAAACGGCAGCTTCCACAATTATGAACTTGAAGCGAAGCTTTTCTTCCATTAGCCTCCTCCATTTCTCCTCGTTAGTTCTCAGAATCATGTGGAGGCTACATCTAATTTGTTTTCAGATTTTATTTTCTGCAGCCCAGCATTTAAAAATCCAAATACAATGTTACTTCAATTTTCCTAGTTGATGGATATTTCCAACCCACAGGAATTTAGAGGAGAAAAATTAACTCTTGGCACAAGAAACCTTAAATTTGAGTGAAAAGATAAAGTCAGGATTGTCATTTGTAAAATAATGTTAACTACTATCCTTGACCAACAGTTTTCAAATTTTACTCTCTGAATTTAGTCCCACTTGCCAAATGACCCCCCATTCTCTCTCTCTCACTCTGTCTCTCTCTTTCTCTCTCTCTCTCTCAAACACACACAGAAAGAAGTTTCTGCTTACAATAACAGCGACTTACTTTGTGCCACACACTATCCTAATATTTTTCATGAATTTCACCCTCACCGTGTAGGTATTATTGTTATCCACATTTAAGTAACTTGCCCATGTTTGCCAGCTAGTAAATGACAGAGCTGGATTCTGAAGCCAGGCAGTCCACGTGTTAAGCTCTGACAGTGCCAGGAATACACAAGGTTCCCAACAAATGCTGGTTTCTCCTTCTCAGCCATCAGCCCCAACACTCCCTCTCCATTTATACACACCCATGCACACCATCACTGCCGTGGCCTCTAGATGTCAGAATAAAACACTCCATGCAGCTCCGACGTTCTCCAAGATCTATTATTGGAGAAAGATAGATCCTAACAGGGGCTTAGAGGTTTCAAAGGGCAAACATCCAGACACACAAATCAAGGAACCTGGTCATGGGTAGAACTGTTTTACCCGAGAAAAGAGAAGGAATGACCCTTCCCCAACACTCCCTACATTTCTAGCAAAGTCTATTTTAAAAAAATCACAAAATGTTAAAAGAAAGGATTTCTTGTGAAAATTGAAATGGCAGAGTTCACATGCAGGGTGGGGGAATGGAAACAGAGAGAGACAGCTTAGATGCAGAAGGCGAGAACAGAGAAAAGTGCAAGGAACTCAGAAATGGTGAGAAGAACTTTGGGTCCGAAGTTGGGGAATTGGGGTTCCAGCCAAATTCATGGGAAGCTCTGGTAGGTGGGAAAACTCCAGCCACAATGTAACTAGGGTCATCTTAGGACTTTGGTAAATACTATGCATAAAATAATTATTTCTGCATTTATATTTTGGTGTTAGAGACTAATTGCACCCCCAATATCTATTCCCCTCTATATCTATAGTTATGGAAGGAATAATTGCTTACATAACCCACTAGCTGAAATCTACATTTCCCAGATTCTTTTGCACGTAGATTTGGCCATATGACCAGCAGTAGAATGTGAGGGGAAATGATATACACAACTTTCAGGTTAAGCCCTCAAAAAGAAAGAGCATGCTCTCTCTCTCCCCCTTGTCTCTTCCTACTGACTAGAATACAGGGGTGGTGTTGAGTGTGGCAGAACCACAAGACGGAATAGTCCTGGGCCCCGTCGCCCTGGAGCTGTCATCTCAATCCTGAACTGCTTATGTTCAAACTGTTACGGAAGTGAGAAATTAACTTCTATCTTGTTTAAATCTGTTATTTTGGCCTCTGTCACAGAAGCCAAACAAGGATTCTAATTAATATTTTTATAAATCATTTCAAATTACTTACTACATTTTAACTGCACCATCACCCTTATGACGCAGATAAAACAAGGATGCTTCTCTCCCATTTCACAAATGGGAAAACTGATTAAGACCACTACGAAAAAAAAAGTTTTCTCTTCCAAAGAATGACTGTGGCTTAAGGTATAACCCAGACAAGAACTCAAAGTCCTTGTTAACATATAAATGTGGGGTCCTGGGTGGGTCCTAAGTGGGTATAATACACGTCTTTAGGGTCATCAGTCTCAGTTGGAAAGAAATTGAAGAGAGTAGGCCTGAATAAGTTTTAGACAGAAAATTATCTTGTTCTTCCAGACTCTGCAACGGACCAGCGATCACCAGGTCTTAAACAGAATTTCAGAGCTGGGAGGGGGAAAAAGCCATTTTGTAGAAGCTCAGTCCGCAAGGAGTTAGCAGAGCCAGGATTAGAACCCAGGTCCAGCATTTTTTGCAGTGCTACCCCAACATCCTTATTATGGTTATTTTAATCATTAACCATCTACTGAGTGTAAGCCATGTTTCAATCGCCATACTAGTGATGGATATAGCAGGTATGACTTAGAGGGCTTGTATGTTGCCCAATACAAACTTTCGAGTGGTGTAGTAGGATTTGGACTGTCTGTCTCCAACACCTGTGTAGTTTTCACTACTTTATGCTGCCTCTTTTAAGACTTCAGCTTTAGGATAGAAGATGAAAGAAAGACAAATTAACAAGAACAACCACAAACCCAAGGTCCAGGGCCTTCTAATGAAGTCCTGTTGATTACACAGAAGAGGCTTAAAGGGATACTATGGAAGGGATCTTTTATACATGAAACCTGCTCGAAACTGATTGTGATGGGTTGAATTTATTGGCCCCAATTCTTCATACATCTCTTCATGGCTTCATTGTAGACTGAAGATATCCCACCACCCCTTGACTTTGGGCTTGGCCACGTGACTGACTTCAACAAATGAGATAGGGCAGAAGAAATAATGTGCTAGTTCCAAACCTTAAAAAGCCTCACATGGTCCCACTTGCCCTCTATTGCGTTATAAGAAGAGCTTTACCAAGGTAGCTGCTGTCTCATCAGCATGGGCCTCAGAATGAACATGTGTGGAACAGAGCCGCCCCATGCAAGCCCAGCTGGACCAGCAGATCTTTGAAAATAAATTATTGTTGTTTGTAGTCACTGAGTTTGGGGTGGTTTGCTACACAGCATTTTTGTGGCAATATCTAACTGACACACTGATGTAATGGGAAACTGAGCTTGGGATTTCTCCAGGTGTCTTAGTTTGCACCCTGAATTCCCTTACAGAGCACAAAAATTCAGGCTGTTCATTTGACCTGCGAAAGCATGAGAAGCTGTCAGGGGCAGAGAAGAATGATCATTGCTGAGTATGAAGCCAGTGTTGTTCCAGACAGACAGGAAGTTGGTCAGAACTAGAACTGGTTTGAGGATTTCATTTCTGTACAACACGTCACTGGCTATTTGTCTTAGACTAGACTATATCTCAGCAAGAATTTATGTCATCATGTCAGCTGCTCTAGCCATCCATACAGGAGCAGGCTGGCTGCCCATACATCTGTGTCCCCTGGTCCCTCTGCTTATTCCAGTTTCTCTTTGACTGGTCTTGAGGACAGCTATCTGCCCCAAAGTTGATTTATCCCAGGAGATGCTTGGAAAATGCCAGGAGTCCTCAACAGAAATAGGGTCACTCTCTGCTGGGCTTCAATTCTACCCTCCCCACCCATATCTCCCAGATTATATAGACCTGTACCAGAAAGCTCTACTACAGAGGTCCTATTGCCTGCCCCTAGGGACATGGAAACATGAGAATTTGTCCACCACTTGAGCCAATGACACTTAGCTTTGTTCCAGGATTCCAGAGATCCTGCTACCCTTCTATTATTTCCCCTTCTGCTTTGTCCCATGACGAGAATGGAAGCATACCCACCCGCAAGCTAAGTTCCACATTCTCTCCTCCGTAGACCAGCATCCCACCATCCAGAGACCCGATCTCTCCCAAGAAGAGCCTGTTGGCAGCCAGGATGCCCATGATGGAAGGACTCCTGTAGAGCACACAGCAAGAGTTACTAACCCCTCAATGAAGAATGGGTCAGCGTGGAGGTGAGGGGTAGGAAGCCCAATGATGGTTTGGCCTTCGAAACTCTACCCAAGCCTCTTCTTATCCTGAAGACTTTCCCTAAATTCTCATTGTGGACTAAGTGCAAGTAGTCTTCCCTCACCCACTGTGCTGTTACAACCCTTCTCAAATTTTACTGCAATTACACATTCTTCATGTTGGTATCCCTACTTCATAGCCTGATAAATGTTTAAAATGGCCCAAATGTTTTCTAAAACATTATATACTTTGCTTTATTTTACTTGAAAGCCTTTAAATAGCGCAAAGCTTCTGTGATTTCTTATCTGGGATCAGCTTTTTTTTTCCTCTATCCCCTGTCCTTCACCCCATCTCCTCCACTTCTCCCACCCCCCTCCCATTACTATCACCAAAGATAAACAAAGCCCACAACTTCCATTCCTGACTTCCTGTGTGCTAGTCAAGTTTCCTGAGCCCACTCAGACTTACTTCACTGGAGCGGTGACGTCATGCAGATCAATCCAGGCCTTTGGCAGTGGATCATAGCGGCACCATAGTTCCCAGTTAAACCCATCAACTGCCAGTTCATACTTAGTCAGTTCAAAAGTGTCAAAACGAATGTTGTCAAACACAGGAGACACAATCACAGTGCGGTCTTCCTGAATCCGAGCCAAAATAGGTTCTGCCCTAGAAGAAGAGTGTGTGACAAGCCCAGGTTGGATATGAGGGTAAGCAGCAGAAGAAAGCAGACAAAGGTGCTCCAAGCTCCTTGCCCTGACACAGAGCATATTCTTCATTTGGGCTATGCTGGGTTGTGAGCAGGACTCTCCCGAGTCCAGAGAATCTCTGCAGCTTTCAGGATAGCTGGGGCTGCTAGCAGCTGACCCAAGTCAAGAGCAGATTTGAAATTAATTCCTCAAAATTAGTACCCACCCCTAAGCTATTGTGAACACGGACTATCAGTATTCAGCCTGAATTTACAATATCTCTTGGCTCTCCCTGTTTCCAAAATGATATCTCTTTACTACCTGATTCTCCACATTCTCCAAAGAACACAGCTCTCTTTGTATCCTGTAATTCAGGGCTGAGAAAAACCTTAGGAAAGACCAAGAAGATGATCTCTTCATTTTACAGATAAGGACATAAATGTCCAGTTAGGTGAAGTGACTTATTCAAAGTCACAAAGTATTGGCAAAGTCAGGGTTGAGATCCAGTTGTCAATACTCCAAGCCCATTGCTTTTTCTCTAGCACTAGACTACTTTCCTTAGCCAACCAAAATCCCTGAGTAAAATCATTCTGTCTTTGGAGCTTCCCTTTGTTTAAGGTTTGGTGTTGACTTTCCCTATTTCCACAATATCCTGCCTTGTATTCGGTACAAGTACTGTGTACGATGTCTCCTTTCTCCCCTTTCCCAGAAGAGAAAACCTCCTGGAGCCTTACCACCCAACGTTCACTTCAATATGAGCATCCAAGATGGCGACCACATCAGCCGTGGCCGCTTCCCTGCCAGCATTGCGAGCTTGAGCCAGACCTTTTCTCTCGGTGTGCCGTATTATTTTCAGTAGTCCTGGATACTTCTGGTTGTAAAGCTTAATCTTCTCTTCCAAGTATGCCTTTAGTTCTTCTGCCAACCAAACACACATCTATAGGAATTCTGAGTGCAATAATCAACGTGGTACAATAATTTCACACTATTATATAGTAGTGGTTGGACTACCTCCAGTTTAGGATGAACAATTCTACAGCCTTGACTGAGAAAATACCTAGCGTTTCCACTGCATACTTGTCTTTTCCCTTCCATCCTTAGGCTTAATGTTACCATTCCTAATCTCCTTTCCCTCGAAGTTAAACTATCTTAGAATAATAATACTGTTTACAATGTGCCAGGCACTGTTACACTTGTTTTATGTATATTGAAAAATTTTTACGAGAATGAGTAGGACAGACCTAACTGAACTAAGGTGGAAGTGCTGTTGGACAGACATTGCAGAGACAGCATGGAATGTCTTCTCCACACGTAACTCTCAAGATTTTCTGGAGAATCCATAAGCAACTGAAATTGTGTCTTATTTTAGATATTCCTACTTGGTCAACTCAAGGACAATTGAGACAGAATGCAGAGACTAATCTCTTTGCCAGTGTCTAGCTAATGAGTTTATCCCCAAATTATGCAAACAGTATTCACTCTTCCCAGATTGTATACAGTTCTTTTCTTCCCTCTCTCCGCTCTCTTTTATGAAGTCTGTCTATGTATTTGTTCTTTGACTCAGCCTACCAGTTGACTTCCTCATATATTTGAAAACAACTTGAAGGCAAATTTCTAAGCAGTGTTTAAAATATCTAACCAAATAACTCTGTGTTATTCATTGATAATATTAATTCATTTAATTCTCAAAGAATCCTATCAGGGAGGCACTTCAGTATCCCCTCTTTACAAATGAAAAACTGAGGCACAGAGAGGTCAAGAAACTTTCCAAGTCACACATCTAGTAAGTGGCACACCCTGGATGTGAACCCATTTTGTGCTTACCCACCATGCCATGCTGCCTCAAGAGCTATGTGTGTACTTGATTGGATTTATCAAGACCTCCCTCCTCTCCCACCATGACCAAGAGATGAGATTCTTGCTGGTTTCTTTCTCAGAAGGAGAGTAGACTTGTGAGTCCTGAAGTGGTCAGGACCTGGAATCAATACCTACATGACTACAGTACTAAAATTTGCCCAATTTTAGAATTTTCCCAGCTGCACTCCAGGGTGACTGACTCAATAACTGAAGGTGTTAAAGAGAGCCAATGGATCTGAAGGATGTTTACTCCCATTGGGGGAAACCAAGTTGGAAAGTCCCCACACTCACCCAGTCACCACTTTTAGAGAGTAATCAGAAGAGGTTGCCATATTGTTTTCTGCCTGTGTTGCCACCATAGTGCCCATGAAAAAGCCTGTGGTGAAGCGGGGCAAAAAAAGAAGCAGGTTCTGAAGTTCATCCTTGACTGCATCCACCCGGTAGAAGGTGGGATCATGAATTCTGCTAATTTTGAGCAATTTCTTCAAGGTCAAAGTGAATGGAAAACTGGAAATCTCAGTGGAGGGTTGTAACCATTGAATGAAACAAAAGCAAAATTACCATAACTTCTGAGGCACCTTTTTTCAAAAGGTATTTGAAATAGCTAACCAAAAAATAGCTGAAAAATAATCTATGTGATTGGTTGCACATAGTTGCTAAGAGGAAAGCGAGTTAGGAATGACATTACTTCGAGATTAACCAGGATGAAGAAGAGGAGGAAGATGAGGATTAAAAGTCATTTATCTGGAATATTTTGCATGAGTTAATAAAACTAAGACCTAACACTTGCTGAGCAGTTACTATGTGCTAAATGCTATTCATAATCCATGTATTATATCAGTGAACACAGTAGCTAGAACTAGGGCTCTGGACTCTGAAGTTTATGGTCAAATTTCAATTCTGTCACTTACCAGCTGTGTGATGTTGAGCAAGCTCCTTGACCAGTCTATGCCTTAGTTTTTTGCATCTATGTAATGGGCAAAAAAGTGGTTACTTCCTCATAGGTTGTTATAATGATTAAAATAGTTAACATATACAAGGTGCTTAGAACAAACAGTGTTAGCTACCATTATTATCTCATTTAAGTCTAGTTATAGTCCATGAGATACTTATTATTATCAATATCAATGTCTTGTAGATAAGGAAATGGGAGCAAGGAGAAGTTAAGTTGCCCAAGGACATAATGCTTATAAGGGAGGAACTGGGATTCCGAAATCCATAAAGCGAGGACTCAGGTCCACTATCTCCCACTTCTCTATGTGTCCTTCTTGGGTGGGCTAGACCAGGTTGGGGAGAGGGCATGATGTGTGCAAGAGACATTGTCATCGTGAAGTCTCAGCACCCAAATCTCCCTTTTCTCCGGACTTAATTACCCAGAATTTTTTCCTCATAGAGAAAGATTCCAGATCTCTTCTTGGTGTCTGAGATCCTCCTTTGGACCCTACCTCAGTCCTCAGGTATCTCTCATGGTGCATGGAAAGGGCACAGGTGGCTTTGGAGTCATGTAGGCCTGGGCCTGACTCAGTTCCACCACTGATTCATCATGCAATTTGAGTCTTAGTTTCTTCATCTGTGTAATCGAGATGAGGATCCTCTGTCTTGACTTTGAGAAGATTAATGTACCCAATACAAACAGGCCCTCAATAAATGATCCCTTTCTTTTCCCTACTTGAGAAGCCGAAAGCATCCTAAACTTTAAGCTAAAACCCCTTTTCACTCTAGCACAGTCAATAAATGGTTGTTTTTACTATTATTCCTTGAGCAGGTTACTCACCATTTGAGCTAAAATCATCCACCAAGATGATCTCCTTCAGCAATCGAGAGGGGGTTCGGTTGATAATACTAGTGATGGCCCGTAGTATAATGGACAGAGCTTCGTTCATGAATATGAGAATGACACTGAGGGATGGCAGTTGTGAAGAATATGTCTTCAGAAGACACCTATAAGAGACCATTTTTTATAACCATATTACTTTTTTAAATTGCTTAAACATTACTCTCCAATTTACTCCTTCACTGTATATCATGTTACATCAACCAACTCATCAACCCCCCCAGACTCATTAGGAAGGGAAACTCTCAGTTGCTTATCACAATAGCAAGAAGATTTTATATTTGTTTATCAAAAATTCTTCTAATATGGGAATAAAACATTTCTTTTGATTAATCTTCAGTAGATATTTCCATTTGAACATTCAACATGCTCCAAAGGGAACTCCTATTCCGCTCCATCCCCAAATTAGCTTCCTTGCCAGAGGCCTTCTTTCTGTCATTGCCACCACCCTTTCCCCATGTTCCCAGACCTTCAGTCATTTTTGACACAACCCTCTACTTCACCACTATAGACAGGCGGCAAACTGTACAAAGAATTGTGCTTGACACATTTTTTAAAGTCATAGTTTACATTTATTAAATGCTTACCATATGCTAGGCACTGACTTATTCTTCTTTTTTAACATCTTTATTGAGATGTAATTCATATACAATAAAAGTCATCCATTTAAAAATGTACAATTCAATGGATTTTTTAATATTCACAGAGTTGAGCAACCATCACCACTATTTAATTTTAGAACATTTTCATTACACTGACAAGAAACATTGTACCCATTACCAGTTATTTTCCATTTCTTCCCAACTCATTCCACCCACACGTCCCTCAGCCATAAGCAACTACTAATCTACTTTCTTTCTCTATAGAATTGCATATTCTGGACTTTTCATACAAATGGAAATACACAGTATGTGGTCTTTTATGACTGACTTCTTTCACTTAGCATAATGTTTTCAAGGTTCATTAGTTATAGCACATATCAGTACTTCATTTCTTTTTATTGTCAAATAATATTCCACTTCATGAATATGCCACATGTTTATCCACTCATCAGTTGCTGGACATTTAGGATATTTCTACTTTTTGGCTATTGCTAGTGCCATCATGAATATTCTTGAACAAGTTCTTGTGATGGAATATGTTTTCATTTCACTGATGTACACAACTAAGAGTGTAATTGCTAAGTCGCATGATAACTCTATGTTTAACAATTTGATGAATTGCCATACTGTTTTCCAAAGTGACTGCACCATTTTACATTGCCAGCAGTAATAAATGAGGGCTCCAATCTCTCCACATCCTGGACAGCACTTGTCATTGTCTGTCATTTTGACGATAGCCATCCCAGTGGGTGTGAAGTATTATCTCATTGTGGTTTTGACTTCCATTTCTCTAATAACGCATGATGTTGAGCATATTTTCATGTGCTTTTTGGTCATTTGTATATCTTCTTTGTGGAAAAGTCTGAGTCCTTTGTTTATTTTTAATTTGGTTGTCTTTTTATTATTGAGTTGTAAGAGTTATAATATATTTTAGATTCAAGTACCTTATCAGATATGTAGTTTGCAAATATTTTCTCCCACTCTGTGAGTTCTTTTCACTTTCTTATTATTATTGCAGCAAAGAAAATTTCAGTTTTGATGAAGTGCAATTTTTCAATCTTCTCTTATCACTTATGCTTTTGGTGTCATATCTAAGTAATTCGTGATCTAACCCATGATCTCTAAGATTTACTCTTATGTTTTCTTCTACGAGTTTTATAGTTTATCTCTTACATTTACATCTATGACCGTTTTGAGTTAATATTTATGTATGGTATGTAGGGTTCCAACTTCACCTTTTTGCATATAGACACCCTGTTGGCCCACAACTGTTTGAAGAGACTGTTCTTTCCCACATTGAATTGTCTTCGCACCTCTAAAGGAGAAAAACTGTCCTGTGTGTCTCTGTCTACTCATAGCACTACTCACAGTGGAAACTTCAGTGACCAGCTATGTGGGGGTTTTTCCCACATCAAACAATTCTGTGACACCAGCTGGGTGTCCCACAATTTAATTCAATTCTGACACTATCTACCTGGAGTTAACATCACATTCCACAGGTTAAGGGTTCAGGCCCACAAGACTGCCTCCCCCACTCCGGAGGCCAATCCAAGTCCAGGTTGTTATCTGTGCTTCTGACCCACTGACTACATACGTTGGAGGTTCCCACAACCCCTTCCTTAGGTTAGATTAATTTGCTAGAGCAGCTCACAGAACTCAGGAAAACACTTTACTTACTAGATAACTAGTTTATTACAAAGGATATTAAAGGATACAAATGAACAGCCAGATGAAGAGATACATAGGGCAAGGTCCTGAAGGTCCTGAGCACAGGAGTTTCTGTCACAGTGGAAACTACCTACATACTCCCAGCATATGGTTGTGTTCTTGTTCACAAACCCAAAAGCTCTCCAAATCCCATAGCTCAGGAATTTTTATGGAGGCTTCATTACCTAGGCATGAGTGATTAAATCATTGGAAATTAGTGATCAAGTCTATCTCTACCTCCCTCCTCTCCCAGGAGGTGGAGTGGAGGGCGGGGTGGGGTTGAATATTCCAACCCTCTAATCACAGGATTTGTTCCCTGGCAACCTATCTATCTTTAGGGGATTTCTAAAAGTCGCCTCACTAACATAAACTCAGGTAATATTGAAAAGAGTTTGTTATGAATAACAAAAGACCCCTTTCTCTCTCTTCTCACATAGGAAATTCCAAGGATGCCAGGAACAGGGGCTAAGACCAAATGTATATTTCTTATTATAAATCACAATATCACAGCACTCTTGTCAGGATCAATTGACCATAAATGTAATAGTTTATTTCTGAATATCAATCCTGTTCCACTGATCTGTATATCTATCCTTAACCAACAACACATTGTCTTGATTACCATAGCTTTGTGGTAAGTTTTGAAATAAGGGAAAATGTGAGTCCTATAACTTTATTCTTCTTTTTCAAGATGCTTTGGCTATTTTGGATTGATTGCATTTTCGTATGAATTTTGGGATCAGGTTGTCAATTTCTACCCAAAATCCAGCTGGTATTTTGATAGAGACTGTAGATCAACCTGGAAACTATTGCCATTTTAACAAAATTAAATCTTCCAACCATGAATATGGGGTATTTTCCATTTATTTAAATCTTTAATTTCTTAACCAATGCTTTGTAGTTTTCCATTTACAAGCTTACACTTCTTTGGTAAATTTATTCCCAAGTATTTTTTCTTTTTGACAGTATTATAAGTGGACTTGTTTTCTTTTCTTTCTTTCTTTTTTTTTTTTTGTTTGGTGAGGAAGATTGGCCCTGAGCTAACATCTGTTGCCAGGCTTCCTCTTTCTGCTGAAGAAGATTGGCCCTGAGCTGTGCCCATCTTGACCAGCAGTGTGTAGGTCTACACCTGGGATCCAAACCTGCAAACCCCAGGCTGCCGAAGCAGAGTGCACAAACTTAACCACTATGGCCATTGGGCTGGCCCCCTGGACTTGTTTTCTTAATTTCATTTTTGAATTGTTTATTGCAAATCTATTGAAACATAATTGAATTTTGTGTATTGATCTTGTATCCTGCAACTTTTCTGTTTTCATTTATTAGCTCTAATAGTTTTCTAATGGATTTTTAGGATATTCTGTATTTAAAAGCATGTCACCTATAAATAGAGATAGTTTTACTGCTTCCATCCCAAACTGGATGATGATTTTTCTTTTTCTCGCCTGATTATCATGGCTAGAATTTTCAGTAAAATATTAAGTACAAGTTATGAGGTCAGACATACTTATTTGATGTGGGAAAAGCTTTCAGTCTTTCACCATGAGGAATGATGTTAGCTGTGGGCTTTTTGTAGATGCCCTTTATCATGTTGAAGAAGCTCCCATCTATTCTTTGCTTATTAGGTGTTTTAATAAAGGGTCTTGGATTTTTTTTCAAATTTTTTTCTGTGTTTATTGAGATGATAGTGTGTTTTTTGTCCTTTATTCTATTAAAATGAGGTATTATATTAATTGATTTTCAGAGGTTGAACCAAATTTATGCTCCTGGCTTAAATCCCACTTGATCCTAGTGTATAATCCTATTACTATGCTGTTAGATTCAGTTTGCTAGTATTTTATTGAGGATTTTTACATCTATATTCATAAGAGATACTGCTCTGTAATTTTCTTTTCTTGTGATTTATTTATCTGGCTTTGGTATCAGGGTAATACTGGCCTTATATAATGAGTTGGGAGTGTGGGGGATCAGAATTGGCCACCTCAAGATGTGTCTTTTTGGCGTGAGGATTATTTTGGGCTGGTTACTTTTAAGAAACTGCAGACAGGCAGAAGCTCTGAAAACCAAGTAGAAGTAACCCTTTGTAAGAGACATTTACATTTGTAAGGGAAATCTCCATTTGTAAAGATGTCTCCCTCTCTGTACCAGGAAGAGGGGGGTGACCATATCTCTAGAAACTCTTATCAAAGAGGAAAGCAAGGACTTAAATCTGCATAATAACCTTACTCTTGTTTACTGTGCTTTTCTGGTAATCTCCCATAACTGACTCCCCGCACCCCCAACAGGCCCCCACAGTGAAGGCTAACAAGACTGCGTTTTGTCCTAGAGGTATTGAAGGATTTTAAGCAAAGGATAGGTATGATCAAATTAATACATTTAAAAGATCATTCTGGCTGCCAGGAGGAGAACAGATGAATGACAATCAGCCACACGTGGTCACCATAATCCAGATGGGCAGGTATGCAGACCTCAGCCACGGCATGCCCTGAGGGAAGAGAGGAGTGAAACGAAGAGCAACGGCTTCAGTCTGATTTCCTAGTCACCTGAATGTGGTGGGCGAGTGAGGGACTGGAAGGAGGATACTACCTCACAATGCTTCTCAAGCTCCAAGGTGCACACAACCCACTTGGGAATTGTGCTAAAGGGCAGATTCTGGTTCAGTAGGTCTGGGTGGGGTCTGAGATTCTGCATTTCTCATGGGATCCAAGATGATGCCAATGCTGTAAGAGTGTGGTACTACAAGTAAGACAAAGTCTTCAGACAGACCTGTACCCAAGTCACAGCTCTGTCACTTTCCATCT